GACCTCAGCATTCAGATAGATAGATAGGTAGATAGGTAGATAGATCGTGATGGTCACGACAGAGCACTGATAAAAATGCTATTGTTTTCTTGTCAGTTTGATGTCTTCAGCTCAAGGCTAGCGCACTACCACTTGAGCCATAGCACCAATTCCGGCTTTTTTTTCTTTTTGCTTATGTGGTGCTGAGGAATCGAACCCAGGGCTTCATGCATGCAAGGCAAGCGCTCTAACACTGAGCCACCTTTCCATAAGTACAATTCTTGTTGAACTTGTTACCTCCCTCTGACCCTCTCCAATCCACCCCTAAGTTGTACAGATCATTTCTAACATATTGTCTGTGAGTATCGCTGTTGTATTGGTTTCCCCTTTGTCTTTAGCAGATGTGCAGAATAGCTCAAAAGCTATGTACAGATTACTATATAAAATGATGCTAAGTGAAATGAACTCCAAGACATGGACAAAAGAGGTTTTTCTTTGTTGTTGTTGTTTTTAATATACTATGTGATTTTTTTCTTTTGAGTTTTTCCCCCTATGGTTTATCCCCTGTTGTCACTGTATCTGATTTTGGTACCCTGGGTATTCTATATATGTTTATCTGAATTAGGGAAGGGAAGGGGAACAACAAAAGGGTGATACAAAGGACAAAGGGGGAACCAATGCAACAGTGATACTCACAAGACAATATGTTGGAAATGTCCTGATTTCTTAATGGGAATTTTTTTTTGCTTTAACTTTTTAATATGCCAATCTTTTTACTGTGTTTCTATTTTTTATTTAACTCATTTGACAAAAGCAACAGAAAATTTATGAAAATGGGTAAGGACTACCCTTGATTTTTATTTAAATCAAAACCAGAGAGGATCTTGTAGGTAATCTGCAGAAGAGACACCTACCTTTTAATCCTCTGTGTTCTAGAAAAATTACAAATGACTTCTGCTAACATATTTTCCTTGGCAAGCATGTGCAATGGTAAGAAAATCCCTTCCTTGTGCTCCTGTATACAAGGGAAGTGATAGCATGGAAAGCTAATTTCGCTCTTCACTGAAGCAGAGAGGATCAGGACGCTGCAGTGTTCAACTTCTTCCCTTCCCCCTTTGGCAGGAACCTGAAAAGAGCTTCCTGTCAGCCAGCTTTGAGGAGGATGATTTAGGAGCAAATGATAGCCCAGTCAGTGGCTTAGCCAATTGTTTCCTATCACACATAGAGTGGCTTTGCCCAAAATCTCCAAAGGCTAAGAGGGTACAGCATTTGTCTCCTGAGATGTTATTAGATGAAGGATGGAATAAATTTTGATTCTCTCTATCCTGTATTCCTTTACATATAAGGGTGCATATCCATTTATATAAAATGCCATATTATATGCATATAATGCATGTGTAGCTTCCTTTGTATTTCAAGTTATGTCAGATAATTTATAATTCCTAAAATAACATAAATGCTTTGTAAATAGTTGTTATACTATTTACTAGTTGTTAATAGTTGTTTTACTATTTGGGAATAATGACAACCACAAAAATGTTTATACATGTTCAGTGCAGACTTGGTTATTTTTCAAATATCTGCCATCCACGGTGGATTAAATTCTTGGAAACAAAATGGGAAATGTGGTACAGGTTCCCATGTGTCTCTCTATAGTCACTATGATTTTGTCAATTCATCAATTCATGACCTTCTTTTATGTGTATTTCCATGTTAAAATGCCTTATATAATTTATGCAGTCAGTTGATAAACATTAAACCATGCCCAACAAGACTATACCTTATGCCTGAATAAAGCTTATATGACCCATGTGTTTTCTTGGTAGGGCATAAACATAGCCTCTTGCACTTAAGAGTGAACACTGCACAGTAATTAAGCAATGCCATCGGGACCATTTCAACCTGCAGAATCCCTAATGAAAAGCACAGAACATGAGGAGGTGTAGGACTAAGTAGGCCACAATAGGGGTACATTTTTACCACATGGAAGCTGAAACAAGGAGACAGATATTGCCTTCCTTACCTCAGCTAAGAGCAAGTGCATCAAATAATTCAGATGTTTTGTTTCTCTGTGCATGTCCAAAAATGACCATAAGAAAACTTGGTAAGACATAAGGTTACACAGGGAGTAGGAAAATTCACTAATATAAAAGTCCATGCTTAATGAAGACCATCCATATTCTTTGTTAAGCTAAGGTGCTGTAAAATTACATACTGTGATGTGGCAAAATTATTGGAATAAGAGCAATTCTGTGTGTCTGTCTTATATAGCCAGAACTATTTACAAATAAAAACGTAATGTTGGTTAGTCTAAAAGAAGGTATTTTTCCCCAAAATGTGTTTATTTTGTTAAGAAGCAAATGAAAACATTTAGCCCAAATCTAGCAAATTGCAGGGAATATGATATAAAAGGAAATCTGAGGGCCAGATTTTAATACTAAAGTGTTACAAATCCTCAGTTATTTTTTCGTCTTTCTTATGGAAGACTTGAATTTTAAGCGAATTGATTTTGTGTTGTTTTACATAGTATTTTACATTCTATAAAATAGTTTCTATAATTTTATTTTGGCATGTTGAATAAATATTTTGCATTATTTTTTAAATGGTAATCATACTACAAACCTTATGGGCATTTAAAATACCTTATGTGGTATATCATTCTAATGATAAATCACTGGTCAGGCCAGAGGCAGAGTTGTCTCCCTGTCATTACTGGAATAATATGAGCCTCATGTGTGGATTGCCAGGCATATTGTGTCTGGCTTTTACAAAATATTGCTTTTGACATGTACTTTCTTGTTAACCAAAACAATGACAATGTTTTGGAGAGCCAAGCAGGAAAGTCTAAAACCAGAGACTAGATGGTAAATATTTCTGGCTGTTAGGCCAGACAGTCTGTGGCAACTAGTGACCTTCGATGCTGTCTGAAAGCAAATGAAGCCAAAGCATAAATAAATGAACATGGGGGGGGTGGCCTAGGAAGGTGGCTCAGTGGTAGAGCGCTTGCCTTGCATGCCTGAGTCCCTGGGTTCGATTCCTCAGCACCACATAAAGCAAAAAGAAAAAAAGCCAGAAGTGACACTGTGGCTCAAGTGGTAGAGCACTAGCCTTGAGCTTAAAAGCTAAGGGACAGCACCCAGGCCCAGAATTCAGGCCCCACAATCGTCAAAAATTAAAAAAAAAGAAACCCAAGCCTTAATTCTAATATAGAAGATTTTCAATATATCCTGTTTTATTTGATAAAAGCAAGAATGACATGTTGGCAAGTCAGTGTCCCGTACCTTTCTGTTTTCTTTTTCTAGTGGTACCACTGATGTTCTTGTATTATTGTTTTCTCTGACCTCAATTTTTCTGGACCTAGATGCCAGGATTTTCAGACTTCCTTGTGACTCCCTCTTGGTCCTGCATAGAACTATTATACTTCATGAGGGTAATACTCACACTTTCAATAGACAAATCCCTTACTTGATAAAAGAGATATAGGCTGTTTGTTTTTTGAAGCTTTCCTGCTATGCCTAGAAAGGAATGGAAAACTCAGTAGCTGATAAGTTTTTGACAATGAAACCTACAATGGGGCAATGGGGTCCCGAAATCTGGTCTTAAAAGATCTATTTAAGATGGGCCTTGTTGTTGTTGTTTGTTGTTGTTGTTTTTAGAGGTACTGGGAATTGAAAGGATAGACTCACAGTTGCTAAGCAGGTGTGCTATTACTTGAGCCATGCCTCCAGTCCCTTTTCCTCTTGTCAATTTTCAAGGAAGTATTTCTCTTTATGCTTAAGCCAGCCTAGGTTGTGATTCTTCTACTTGTGCTTTCCCATGTTTCTGGGAATAACAGTGTGTAACCCTATGCCCAGCCACCAAATGAGATAGAACCTGGTTAATTTTTTATAGTCAAGCTGGCACTGAACCATAATCCCCTCTTAATTATGTTTCCCAAACATAGCTAGGATTATGGGCTTGAGCCATGAAGCATACCACTTCACTCAGATCAAAAACCATGTTTATAGCCAGAGGGGCAGTGCTGCCAGGTAGTAGTGATAGTAGTAATGTCAGCTTTCTCCCCCTTAGCTGAGGTTGTTTGTATAAGAGCAACTTTCAGATCCCTGTAGACACTACTAAATTTCTGTTTCCTGTTTCCAATATTTGTAGTATATAGCCATTTAACAAGGCCCTGGGTGTCTTGAATGCATTTTTCTATCCTTACCCTTGAAATTCATCTGTGTGTGTGTGTGTGCACACGTACACACATGTGGACACGTGTGTGCATACACATGCATGTGTGCTAGTACTAGAGCTTGAACTCAGGGCTTTGTACTCTCATTTGGCTTTTCTGCTAAAGACTTGTGTTCTACCACCTGAGCCACATCTCAACTTATCTTAAATTTGTTTGCCCTTGGCTGGCTGCAAACCATAGTCCTCAGATCTCAACCTCCTGAGTAGCTAGGATTACAAATGTGAGCCACAGGTACTTTATGAAATTTAATTTTTTATGCCTTCATTGTCCTCTTATAGAATTAGTCATGAAAAATTACTATGGTCTCATCTCAGGAATATCCAAGCATCTCTTTCTTTTATGTCATCAGTGAAAACAAAAAATTATTAAACTTGAACAGGACAAAGTTTTTGCAATGGCTATTTTTCTATGGAGCCTCCTCTCACTCTCATGTGTGTTATGTTTTATTGTTAGACTATTATAACAGAGTGTTGTGTAGTCTAGAAAGAGTTTATGCCCCTTATAAATGACTCCAGTTCTCTTCCTTTCAAATATCTGCCCTTACCCTGTTTCCCTCTGGTTGTTTAGGTGAGTCCTTTATTTGGTTCTTGTGTGACCTAATATTGAGGGTCTTATTTATTTCTGTAGCCCAGAACCCGTAACATCAAGTGGTAGTGTTAGGAAATCACTCCATTAATAGTGGGTAAAAACAAAGGATGCAAGGAGTGAAATTATGTGTCTTCTGGTAGATACCTAGTAAAAGTCTGAGAAAATAAGTGAATAATGTAAATCTTTCTTAATTTTTCAGGTAATTTTTGAAGTGGTTACGTCTGGACATCAAGGCTACCTTGCAATTGATGAAGTGAAGGTGTTAGGACATCCATGTAGTAAGTGTTCTCTTCTGCTAAATATTGGTGTAATTACTGGGTGGAGGGGGAGGGCTTTTACATAATAGATTAATAGAAGGGATCAAAACTCAGAGTACATACATTTCATAACAAATCCCTGAGAATTAGTTTACCAGTCCAAAAGTCTAAAATCATATACTTCATATATAAATGTCATGATTTATGTGTATGAAAGTATCTCTCAATGTAAGAATCAGGAGTAGGGAGTACAGAATTCTTTTTCTTGAACATTGTTTCAAGCATGGTTTGTTGCCATGATCTTTGAATTTTCATTCAGTGTTTACTCTGGGAATTGGTTCATTTCATTTCTAAGTTAAATATGTTTCTGTCACTGTTACCTAGTTGTATTTTTTTCTTTCCTTACAATTTCAAATAGTATTGCTCCCAAACAGGACTGGGATCTGCCAAATATAAAGCACCTACCTAAACTGCTTTCAGGCCTCATACATGGTCTCTTCCTTGTCTTTTACAAACACACTTTCTTCACTTAACATTTTTTCCAGGTCATTTCTTTACAAATGGTATATCATTCTTTCCAATGAATGTGTAACATTCCATTGCACATGTATAGCACATTTTCTTGATCCATTTGTCCATCCAGGGGCATCAGAGCTGATTATGTTAAGTGAAGTAGTCAGGCCCAGAGAGACAGTAGATCTCTGTTTTCTTTTATATGTGGAAGCTTGGTTTAGCTTACATAACTCAGAAGTATGTTGAGTGGTATGCAAGTATATACAAATGTATGAACTGAAAGTGGTAGAATCAAGAGAGATCTTAGAAAGCTAAAATCAAAGTTCCTTAAAAAACTAAAATCAAAGTTCAGCAAAATAAAACATTAGGAAGAGGGTACTCAAAAGGGATAGGGTGGGGTCCAGGGGAAAGGAGTAGACAAAAGAAGAGGAAAAAAGGAGGAAAATGCAGACACAATCTAATGTATATCCTACAAAATTAAGAAAAGAATGAAGGAGTGAGTAAAGAGGGATGGGGAGAATGATGAAAAGGGTGACATCACTCAAGGTATATTCTATTCACAAACTGTTTTTTTAAATATCATCTCCTTTGTACAACTACTTAAAGATAATAAAAATTGAAAATAATTTTTAAATATCAAAAATAAAAGCAGTAGGATAGGTGAGAAATATACTCATTTATAAAAGTAGTGTGAGTTCTGGAAGATAAGGTTTTAATCTAACTTAGGCAGAAATAAATTAGATTATTTAACCTTGGCCAAGTAGGCAAGCTGGACAAGCATTTGAAGCCATGAATTCAAACCCTGGTACCAGCAAATAAAATAGTAATGTGAACAACTCTTTTAATAATGGCCATTATAGATAGAGAGATAGATAGGTAGATAAGCAATCAAGCTAGTGCAATTGCCAAGGCCATGTCTCCCCCCCCCCCCCCCCCAGTGGTCAGCTGTCTCTTGCACCTCTCCAGTTGCAGGTTCTAGACCCATGTGGCAACAGCAGCAGGTAATAACTGGGTTAAATGGAACAGTCTTTTAATCTGAAGGGTATTGGTTTGCAGGTAGAATCCCAAGCAACCCTATTGCTCCAGATTTGAGTAGGGAGAAGCCCTAATCTTGGCTTGGTACAGTCAGACTATAAGCATTGTAATGACAAAGGGCATGGTATGCCCCTTCCCACTCACCCTTGAAAAGATAACCTTTGTCTCCAGCAGTTGAGTGTTCCCTGCTGCCTTTGTATCTTTTCATACTTGGATTTATGCTCAAAACCCTCACTGGAATTATGAAGGTGAGAAAGCTAGCTCAAACCTCCATCTCCCTCACTGCCCGGGCTGGCCCCCAGCTCTCTCAAGGAGAGCAGGGAATGGTTTTTCTACTTTGTCATGAGAGGTAAAACTGACTTTTACCAGTAAATATACTGTGCTGGCCAATCAAGCACTGTAAATGTATGTGCATATGTGCATGCATACTGTTTCCCATAATCAGTACACATTTATAAAAAGCCAAAACATGAAGTTCGTCTTCTGTAAATTCTAATAAATACTATCTAACTGTATAAATTGCTCTGTATAGTTGTCCCTTGATATTTATGAGTGATTCAGGTCTTCCCATAGGTACCAAAACATGAGATGCTATAAAAACTGGCCCCGTGTTTGCATATGACCTGTGCACATTATCCCATATACTTTAGGCCTCTCTAGATTAATTATAATATCAAATGCAGTATAAGCATTATATAAGGGATTAAAAAAGGACAGGGAAAAAAGGGAAAAGTATCTGAATATTCAGTGTAAGCTCAGTTTTTTTTTTCTTGAATATGTTCTATCTATGGTTCATTCAGGAGCAGATATTGAACCATGGATATGTTGTGTCTACTATTTCCTTCTACTTAGTACTATATTTTTTTATTGTCATTCATGGGGGCTGAAATCTGGTGCTGTTCCTCAGCTCTTCAGCTCAAGGCTAGTGCCCTAATACTTGAGCACAGATGTAGTGCTGAGGAATCAAACCCAGAGCCTCATGCATGCAAGGCAAGCACTCTACCGCTGAGCCAACTTTCCAATCTTTTAGTTATACATTTTAAAGGCCAATCCATTGTATCCTTTCATAGGAATGAAATACTTTATATTCTTTTAAAGCAGTTAGGCTCTGTACCCCATTTTCCTATATTAAAAATATTGTTGTACACCACTCCTATGCATGTTGACCACTGTATGTTAATGACTAAGATCCTATATAGTTTATCATATCCCAGTGTTACTTATTTTAATCATTCAGTATGTTTACTTGCAGATTTATAAACACATTCTAGTTGTCACAAATGAGGGAAAGCATCCAGTCCATGTTTCTTTGGCTCTAGCTTACTTCACTTAATATAATATTTTTCCAAGTCTTTCCATTTCCTTACAATATCATTCTTTCTGATGGATGATATAATTCCCATTTTACACACACACACACACACACACACACACACACACACACACACACACACACACTCACACACACTTTCTTAATCTATTCATCCACTGAGGGACAAAGGCTCCAAAGCTATGGACAGATGATCATATAAAATAATATTCTGAGAAATGAACTCCAAGAAAAGGAAACAAGAGGGCACATAAATACAAATACAACAGTAATACTCACTAGATATTATGTGAAAAATGAACTGGATATCTTATGGGCAGGGACAGGAAGAAAAGATTGGGATGGGAGAAGAGCAGACATGGTTCAAAAAGAATTATACTGATTGTACCTGATTCATGTAACTGTAATCCCTCTGTATATCAACTATTCAGATACTATTGTGTGGAACATATGTACCTGTGTGCCTTGGTGCCATGTGGAGAGTTTTGATGGGACACCCCCCGCCCCCTATACATACTTTTTCTTAGAAGCTAAGTTGCCAAATTGGGCAAGATACATTTTTTGTTTTACTGGAGGCTGCCAAATTGCTATGAAAAGTGTCTGCAGCAGTATATTATTTTTACCAGTGGTGCATGAAAGTTTAAGATCCCCTATATCTTTGCCCAAAATTGATAATGTCAGATCTAAAAGGATTTGGCTAGGTGAGCAATGGCAACCTGCCTTGTTTTTAGAATGCCTAGTTCTGGGTGACACTGGTGGGTTCATGAGTTTCACAGATCTTTGCTGATGGCCACTACTTAAAACTCTTCATGAGAGTATTTGGCACGTAAACATTTTCAGGAACCTCTCAGTGTTTTTTTTCTTTTTCTTCTTTTGAATGGAGTGTATTTGGATAGATTATTACATCCAACTCTTGTAGTTATGGAGAAGATCGATGTGATTCTTACCTGAGATAGTGTTCACATGCAGTTATCTAACTCCACCAAAGGGTTTTTGCTCTCTCTAATATCTTAGTTCAGCACTCTCAAATTTGCCAAGCATGCAGGTTAGTATACAGGAGTCATATCATTCATTACTGAAGTTATTACTTTTGTTGCCTGTCATATTTGCCTTTTCTTCCATGTCAGAAGACTGGGGAATTTCAGAAGAATTTCTTCTCTCTTTTATATGCTGAAAAGGCAGGAAAATAAAACCAACAAGGCTGTACTTAATTGAAATGGCAGGGCAAATTTAGGAGTCAGAATATAATTACCTGAATTGGCACTTAGCCAAATCCTCAAAGTAATAGCCTCTGGCTTGGAAAAATGCCACAGGATCTAATATGCACAAGTGTTCATGACCTCTGATTCAGTGCTTATGAGGAAATACAGAAGTGAGAGCCAGCAATACTGGACTGTTAACTAAGTGCTGAGCAATCTGGTGACATATGCCCCTTTGCCTCTCTGTCCCTTAGAGTAAACTTTCCAGATGTTGTTTGACTTGGTACAGTACATGGGCTGAAGTGAAGTCTTCACCGATCTGTGTCCTGAGTTCCTTTCTTCTATATCTGGCCCCTGGACAACACAGGAGCTATGTAAAGGCCTTTTCATGCCACTGTATTCCAGGCATGGTGATCAGCAAAGATATAAAGACTGAATACTTAGCCTTCTGTCCATAGGTTCTGGAAATATGGTAGCTGCAGCTGAGCATTCCTGAGGGCCCAGCTGCCCATGGCCACAGACGTGGTGCTTATGGGCCTCTATAGAGAATCCCATGCTAATACCGAAGTACTTTCATAAACTTATGGCAGGAGGCATGGCACTGTAAAGCTGGCTCTGTACTGAGGTGATGTATGTTGTAGCAGCATTTTGATCTTTAAACTTTTAAGTGATTTTGCTGAGAGCCCTTCTGCAGTTATATTTTTTCTTGAATCTCTTAAGTTTATGGGGAAAATATGCAAATAAATATTTTATGGATTATGACATTACTTTGATTTTAAAATTGGAATGTTTTATAGGTAATGACTTATGAGATTTCCTATCAGCCTTTCTAAATGATAATCAATTATTATGAAGTTTTGATGTTCATTAATTTTAGATACCAAGGGAGCAATAAACAGTTCGTGTCCAGCACTATGATTTCCAAAGGGATGTAGAATTGTTGA